AGAGGTAAGAATTATATAAAAGTATTGGTAACAGGTATGCCACAAAGTAATTCTTCATTGTCCAAGGAATCACACACTCACATAAACATCAAACCTCATTCATTTAATTATTTCCTTCGTGCCACAAATGCTTACTGAGCAATTGGCACATTGAAGAGGTAAGCTAGGTGCTGAGAAACAGTCAAGGGATAACTTAGGTGCAGCGACTATTTATAAGATGTTTGCCTTCTACGAGAGGGCTAAGCAAGAGGTAAGTCATATTCATTTATGCATACATTTAGAATAAGGTAGAAATGGATGAATAACAGAAATACAGATGCAATATTTTGGACATACAGGGTGGGTGGGGAGGGTGAGTTTGGAGTATCACTTTCCTCTGAGGAGATCAGAGGTCACTTCATGAAGAAACTGGAAAAAAAATGGAAGTGGGAGGGGCAGAGAATGGTATTCCAGTGATGGAGGCAGAATGAGTGAGGGCACAGAGGCAGGAAACAGCAATTTAAAGAAATATTTAAAGGTGAAAGCACAGTATATTTTAAAAAGCAATTTAAAAGTTTGCATAGAGAGGGCGTTGTAATTTATATTTTTTAAGGGAATGATAGATACAGGAAGCATCCTCACTAGCTAAAGCACCACATAGAGGAGAAGAGTGGGCATTATGGAAAAGGGAAGTGTCAGCTTGGAAACAGAGATCACTCCAGATGAAATAACCTGGAAATGGGAATACTAGCATCCGTCTGATACCAGTGTTTCATAAAACGTAGGCTTACTGTGCATGTGACTGTAAATTGATGGGAAGACTCCATAAGAGAAGGATAAATTCTGACTTATGAACGCAGCTTCTTGCAGCTTCTATTCCCCTTCACCACTCTTATGCATGTTAGGAAGGAGGCCCACATGGTAGACAGTGTCATTTGACTCCAAAGAACCAACATTTAACCTTTAAGACAACACATAGCACCACCCACCTTCATACCTAGTAGTCTCTGATATGAATGATCAAAGAATTCGATTCCAGCCTCTGGAGGCAATGAGCTTGAACCCTGATATTATAAGTGGCTATAAAATTACCCAGCTTTTAAATCCAACCACAGAATTTGATTTTATGACCTCCTATAGAACTGTAGCTACAGGTTAACTAAAGGTTATGAAGTAGTATTTCCTTATTATGGTTCTGAATTCACTGCCTTGTAATTTCAGAGATCACTGTGTTCTACTGTGGGACAAGCTTTATAGTGTTATAATTTTATATAGCTCAGTGAGGATCTTGTAGCTTTTTCTTTCCTAAGTTCAGATTCTATATTATTCCTATAATATTATTTGTATCTAGTTCATCACTATTTAAATTGCTATAAATGTATGTAGGAGACCTTATATAGTTTTAAACCTTATTTTCCTATTTTGTTTTATGCCTTGCTTACAAGTAAGGTGTAATTAAAACAAAATTAAATATTGTTTTATGTCTTAATGGGAGTAAAAATGCTAAGCATTAAATTCTATTTAAATTTTGTATATGTGTGATAGTACATAGGATTACTGGATTACTAGAATATATATACTTTATATATTCATAATTTCAAATGAATAAATTGAGGTTATAAACAGCCTCATTGTCTTATTCTACAAAACAACTTTGTATCAATAGCTACGTATATGTCTGTTTCCCTGAATTCAAAATAGTAATCCCTGTGATTTTAATACACTTAAAAAATGTTAGACATGTTTAGATCTCATTAGGTAAAGCTAATTTTTTTGCCGACATTTCATGTACTTTATAAAACATAAGCTGATCCCCCTACAATGAGAATGACATCAATTTGATTTTATAACTTTTCTGCTTCTTTACAATTAAAAATCCTGAAAAAATATTGTAACTCAGTAGTAGTATTAGATATGAAAAATATAACTTCAAAGGTATTTATCAGAAGGATAAAAAATGGCTATAGAATAGATAAATTATTGGCTTTCCTTTAGGCTGTGTCTCCATAGGCAAGGTAGAGAATAAAGGTACTTATTTAAAAAAAGCTGGGCAAAAATTTTAAGCCCAATAATTGGAGAAATGATATAGCAAGGAGTTTTTATCCAGACTGTGTATTCACATTGATTCTATTGACCTGACATAATTATATAACTCTATGCCCATATAGATGCAGGTAGAAAATCTAGAAATAAGATTCTCTAATTTGCTACCACCTAGCCCTAACTTTAATGAAGCATGCTTTCCTATTATTATCACTTGAAAATCATTGTTGATTTTCCTATAGAGAATTTTTAAAAAGAAATCCATCAAGAAAAGTTTATATAGCTAAACAACTTGTCTAAGAGTGTTATCTGCTCTTTTTTTGACTTTTAGAAGTTTATTCCTTCCAGTTTAGAAAAATTTAGTTTTGCCTTTCAGGAGTCATAGCATTTTTGGTCAAATAACATCTTTCTATTACTACAAGTGATTTTATATTCCTTTGTGGGAGTCTGATTGAAAAAAAGCAAAACAAAACTCATCAGGCCAAATTTTGTTCTATGTAGTGCTGGCGTCAAATGGGAATTTCACAAATTTGAGAGAAAGCAGACTTCAAGCAATTGGGAGTGTGATAAACAGCAAGCTATTTTAGAAAGGGGTCAACATCATAATTACACCAGCAGTTGAGCATAAGGATACCTAAAACTATTATGTATGGTGTTGTGGGATTTTTGTTTTGTTTTGTTTTTGTATTTAAGCTTTTACTTGTAGACAAAGTAGGACTAATAAAATGGATATCTCACTTAAGAAATGTATACCAGAGAACGTTTAATACTAGAATAAAAATTATTTGCTTGTTTACAAATATTAATTTTATTTTATTCCATAAATTTTCTTATTGGAATTTGATATTTTTGAACTATATAAGAAAACAACTGAAATTTCCTACAAAATTAGGATTACTTTGACATTTTGAATTTTTAGTAAAGGGGATATTTTTACTGAAATTTGTGAGTTACCAGAAGAATGCTTTTGACCATTCGGGGATATTAAAAAGAACATAGTCCATTTATAAAGAATAGAAAAAATACTCAACATAATACATTTAAAAAATGATGCCACTCTTTTTCTAAGCAAAAGTAGCTCTAAGTAGCTTTTTTCTAAGCAAAAGAGCTAGACATAATTTAAGAATATTTAGGAGCAAAAGAACGATCATACCACTGAGTATATGAAGTTTTAAACTTTTGTGCAGACAGATTTTTTTTCTTTTATGATGGGATAGTTTTCTAAATGGCTGTTAAAACCTATAGCATTCAATGCTTACAGTAATTTATTCTTGGCTCTAAATTTTGCTTTCTCTTCTTTGCTTTCTCTTCTCAGATTCACTTTGGTTAATTTTCTTTACATAATGAGAAATGGATAATTGAGAAGGCATGAATGTATCTAGCACTGGGAGATTCGAGAAATATTATGTTGTAGAGAGGGAATAAAGAGTTCCATTGTTATTGAATTGAGTTCAAGTCTATTCTTTAAGATCCTTTTCTCTTACAGACATTTCACAAGAATCATTTGAAATAAAGACTATTACTTTGAAAGTAAAACTTTACCAGTGTATTTACGGAAAATTGGGATAGAAAAATAACTTTTGAATAAGACTTCAAATTTCTTGGAGTATTTTTGTTCTTCTATACATCCTCCAGAGTGATTATTCTAAAACATAAACCTTGTCAGTAAATTCTCTGCTTAAAACCCTGCAGTAGTTCCACATGGCTTCAGCATAAATTCTAATGTTAGCTCCACGGTGTGCACCCTCTTCCGCCAGCATCCGTTCTCTCACCAGACCCCCTCCCCTCCCGTCATGCACCTTATGCTCCGTTTATGTCTGGCTCTTACCTCCTTTCAGCTTTCACATTGTTCTATACTTTTGTACATGCTATTTTCTCCATTTATAATACACTTGTTTCCTTTCCAGTTCTATTCCTACACATCTTTCAATTGTAACTTCTGTGAAGTCTTTGCCTACACTCTCCACTCTTACAATTCCTAACATCAGAACTCGAGGCTCTCTGCTCTGTGCTCCCGTACTTCCAATAGAACCTTTTCAGTTTTCCCGTGTGGTGTTCAGTTCTCTTTTCCACTAGACTGTGAGTCACCTGAAGGCAAGGGAAATATCTTGTTTTGGTAGTTGTAACATCTAGCACAGAAAAGGCAGTTGGTGGTTGCACAAGAAATGTTTGTTTTATTAATTAACACATCATTTAATATATACCTAGGTAAGAACAACATTCTTTACATTTTGGGGAAATACATAGAAGTCAGCAGCTAGCATGGAATATGAACAATAACTGCTGACTAATTGAGTCATTATTTTAAATTCTCAAAAAGTTGAAATTAAAGTAGACAAAATAAACATCCAGAATAAACTATCCAAGATAGTTATAGTCAACATATGTATTTTCCTTTCTCGTGCAGATCAAATCCCAGGAGGCATTTTCTCTCTACTCCAACCTGTATTATTTCCATGTTTCTATTACTTTTCTGTGTTATCCACTTAAGTTCTAAGTCTATGCTTCGCTGAACTGTGCATGAGTTTTGTAGATGTGCATTTTACCTTTCTTATTATAAAGACTATATATTCTTTTAGGGCAGGGATTGCATCTACTACTTCTTTGAATTTTCTCTACATGACCTAGAGAGAGACTACACACATAGTATGTCCTTAAAAATTATTTGTGGAATGAATGAAAGCAAATTCACATCATTAAACTTTGTGAATACTACATAAATAAATGTACCTATGTATTAAGTCACAAAAAAACAATTCCTCAAAATATGTTTTGTATGTATTTTGCTCAGGGTGAATACCACACAAAAACGTTTTACTGCAATTAATAGAATTCCTGAAAATGTAATGGGGTATTGATTCCTTTTGGATATTAGTAGAAAAATCTTATTTCAGTTTAATTTGATCAAGACCAGGGGAGCAAGAAGCACGTTGCTTTACTTAGATCATGGTGTTTGCTCTTCTGTCTCCTTCTGATAGTTGGAATATAGAATTACCACAACATGGGAGAGTTTATCAGCACTGCACAGGCCTGTGACTCTCAAGTTTAAACCTGGGGTTCAAGACTTATTGATGGAAGTGAATACTCCTTTCTGTGATGTTCCCCAGCACTGCCAGGGGAAGCAGGACAGCCTTTTGATGAACTCTTGGAGTAGGAAGGTGAGAAACTTTCTATTTTGAGTCTTAAAGCTGAGATAAATAAAGAGCACACGTTATAATATATGACGGTATTTTCTTACAGTATCTATTAATCTTCTCAGACTTTCCAAATACCTCATGCTACTCATCCTGAATATCTGAAATCTCAATGATGTAGAAAGCTGGGGTCAAAAAATGTGTGGCCTGGAATTGAGGTTTAAGCACTTAAGAAAATTATCTGTGACACACTATTTAGCAATTTATGTGAAAAATGAATTTAGCAATTCATGTGAAAATGTTAGTCTAAGTAATAAATATAGATAAGTGTTTTATTTCAGGTGTTGAGTGGTATTTGCAAAGCATGCATCATTGAATTTGTTTTATTTTTTTTATTGTGGTAACATTGGTTTATAACAGTATATAAATTTCAGGTGTCTATCATTATATTTCAATTTCTATGTAGATTACATCATGGTCACCACCCAAAGACTAATTATAACCCATCACCATACACATGTGCCTAATGACTCATTTCTCTCTCCTCCCTCCCACCTTCCCATCTGGTAACCACCAATCCAATCTCTGTCTGTCTGTGTTTGTTTATTGTTGTTTTTATCTTCTATTTACAAATGAGATCATACAGTATTTGACTTTTTCCCTCTGACTTATTTCGCTTGGCATAATACCCTCAAGATCTATCTATATTGTCACAAATGGCCAGATTTCATCATTTTTTATGGCTGAGTAGTATTCCATTGTGTATATATACCTCTTCTTTATCCATCCTTCCCTTGGTGGGCACCAAGGTTGCTTCCAAGTCTTAGCTATTGTGAATAATGCCACAATCAACATAGGGGTGCATACATCTATGCATTTGTGTTTTTGTGTTCTTTGGGTAAATACCCAGCAGTGGAATAGCTGGATCGTATGGTAGTTCTATTCTTAACTTTTTGAGGAATCGCCATGCTGTTTTCCATAGTGGCTGCAACAGTTTGCACTCCCATGAGCAGTATACGAGAGTTCCGTTCTCTCCACATCCTCTGCAACACTTGTTATTTCCTGTCTTGTTAATTATAGCCATACTGATGGGCCAGAGGTGATATCTCATTGTGGTTTGATTTGCATTTCCCTGATAATTAGTGATGTTGAGCATCTTTTCATGTGCCTGTTGTCCATCTCTTTATCTTCTTTGGAGAAATGTCTGTTCAGATCCCTTGCCCATTTTTTAATTGGGTTGTTAGCTTTTTTGTTGTTCAGATGTATGAGTTCTTTATATATTTTGGATATTAACCCCTGATCAGATATATAGTTTGCAAATATCTTCTCCCAATTTTTCAGGTTGTCTTTTTGTTTTGTTGATAGTTTTCTTTGCCATGCAGAAGATCTTTAGTTTGATGTAGTCCCATTTGTTTATTTTTTTTCTATTGTTTCCCTTGCCCAGTCAGACGTGGTACTTGAAAATATATTGCTAAGACTGGTGTTGAAGAGTGTACTGCCTATGTTTTCTTCTAAAAGTTTCATGGTTTCAGGTCTTACATTCAAGTTTTTAATCCATTTTGAATTAATTTTTGTGCATGGTGTAAGATAATGGTCTACTTTCATTCTTTTGCATGTGGCTGTCCAGTTATCCCAAAACCACTTACTAAAGAGACTGTTCTTTCTCCATTGTATGTTCTTGGCTCCCTTGTCGAAAATTAGCTGTCTGTAGATGTGTGGGTTTATTTCTGGGGTCTCAATTCTATTCCTTTGATCTGTTTGTCTCTTTTTGGGCCAGTACTGTGCTATTTTGGTTACGATAGCTTTGTAGTATATTTTGAAATCAGGGAGTGTGATACCTCCAGCTTTGTTCTTTTTTCTCAGGATTCCTTTGCTTATTTGGTGTCTTTTGTTATTCCATATAAGTTTTAGGATTATTTGTTCTATTTCTGTGAAAAGTGTTGTTGGAACTTTGATAGGGATTGCATTGAATCTGTAGATTGCTTTAACAAGTACGGACATTTTAACTATGTTAATTCTTCCAATCCAAGAGCACAGAATATCTTTCCATATCTTTGTGCCTTCTTCAATTTCTTTCAACAATGTTTTATAGTTTTCAGGGTACAGATCTTTCGCCTCTGTGGTTAACTTTATTTCCAGGTATTTTATTATTTTTGTTGCAATTGTAAATGGGATTGTATTCTTAATTTCTCTTTCTGCTACTTCATTGTTAGTGTATAGAAATGGAACTGATTTTTATATGTTGATTTTGTATCCTGCAACTTTACCATATCCATGTTTTATTTCTAAAAGTTTTTTGGTGGATTCTTTATGGTTGTCTCTATATAAAATCATGTCATCTTAAAATAGTGACAGTTTCACTTCCTCCTTTCCAATTTGGACCCCTTTTATTTCTATTTCTGGCCTGATTGCTCTGGCTAGGACTTCCAATACTATGTTAAATAAGAGTGGTGAAAATGGGCATCCTTGTCTGGTTACTGTTCTTAGAAGTATAGCTTTCAGTTTTTCTCTGTTGAGAATGATATTAGCTGTGGGTTTGTCATATATGACCTTTATTATGTTGAGGTACTTTCCTTCTATACACATTGTATTCTGAATTTTTATCATAAATGAATGCTGTATCTTGTCAAATGCTTTCTCTGCATCTATTGAGATAATCATGTGATTTTTATTCTTCATTTTGTTAATGTGGTGTATCACGTTGATTGATTTGCACATGTTGAACCATCCCTGCATCCCTGGAATAAATCCAACTTGATCATGGTGTATGATCTTTTTAATGTATTGTATTTGATTTGCTAGTATTTTGTTGAGCATTTTTCCATCTATGTTCATCAGTGATATTGGCCTGTAATTTTCTTTTTTTTGTGTTGTCCTTGTCTGCTTTTGACATCAGGGTAGTGTTGGCTTTGTAGAATGAATTAGGAGGCATCCCCTTCTCTTCAGTTTTTTGGAAGAGTTTGAGAAGGAGAGGTATTAACTCTTCTTTGAATGTTGGGTAGCATTCACCAGGGAAGCTATCTGGTCTTGGACTTTTATTTTTGGGGAGGTTTTTGATTACTGTTTTGATCTCCTTACTGGTGATTGATCTATTCAGATTCTCTATGTCTTCTTGATTCAATTTTGGGAGATGGTATGATTCTAAGAATTTATCCATTTCTTCTAGATTATCGAATCCTTTGTATTTCTGAGATGTCTGTTGTAATTTCTCCTCTTTCATTTCTGATTTTATTTATTTGAACCTTCTCTCTTTTTTTCTTGGTAAGTCTAGCTAAAGGTTTGTTAATTTTGTTTATCTTTCCAAAGAATCAACTCTTGGTTTCATTGATTTTCTCTATTGTTTTTGCAGTCTCTATTTCATTTATTTCTGCTATGATTTTTATGATTTCCTTTCTTTTACTGATTTTGGGCTTTGTTTATTCTTATTTTTCCACTTCCTTTAGGTGCACTGGTAGATTGTTTATTTGAGATTTTTCTTGTTTGTTGAGGAGGACGTGTATTGCTATCAGCTTCCCTCTTCAAACCAGTTTTTGCTGTATCCCATAAATTTTGGCATGTTCTATTTTCATTTTCATTTGTCTCCTTTTGATTTCATTTTGATCAAGTCATTTTGATTTCTCCTTTGATTTCTTCATTGACCCAATCATTATTCAGTAGCATTTTTTAAAATTTCCACATATTTGTGGCTTTTCCGATTTTCTTCCTGTACTTGATTTCCAGTTTCATACTGTTGTGGTCAGAAAAGATGCTTGCTAAAAGCTCTACTCTTTTATTCCCCTCCTCACATATTTTATGTTTTTTCATATCATATCTAACCTCTTTTTTGTGCGTATGTATTCATTACCCTCTTATCATGGAAATAGATAATTTTAGTACTTTTGTCTTTTGACCTTCATATTAGCTTCCTAGGTGGTCATTCTGTTACCTTTACTGTATATTTGCCTTTACCAGTGATTTTATTGTTTTTTTTTTTAAATAATTTTCTTGTTCCTATTTGTGATCCTCTCTTTTCCACTTAAATGAATCCCTTTAGCATTTCTTCTAAGGCTGGTTTCTTGGTGATAAACTCCTTTAGTTTTTGCTTGTCTGGGAAACTCTTTATCTCTCCTTCCATTCTGAATGATAACCTTGCTGGGTAGAGAATTCTTCGCTGTAGGTTTTTTCTTTCAGCACTTTAAATATATCATGCCACCCTCTTCTAGCCTGTAATATTTCTGCTGAGAAGTCAGCTGATAGCCTTATGGGGTTTCCTTTGTATGTCACTTGTTTCCTTTCTCTTGTGGCTTTTAGGATTCTCTCTTTATCTTTAATTATTGACATTTTAATTATAATGTATCTTTTGTGTGGGCCTCTTTGGGTTTATCTTGTTTGTTACTCTCTGTGCTTCCTGTACCTGGGTGTCTGTTTCCTTCTTTAGGTTAAGAAAGTTTTCAGCTATTATTTCTTCGAATAGATTCCCTTCTCCTTCTGGGACACATATAATATGGATGTTAGTGAGTTTGATGTTGTCCTAGAATTCCCTTAGACTGTCCTTGTTCTTTTGAATTCTTTTTTCTTTGATCTGTTCAGCTTGGGTGATTTCCTCTAGTCTTTTGTCCAGCTCGCTGACCCGTTCTTCTGTATCATCTACTCTGCTATTGAGTCCCTCTAGAGAATTTTTCATTTTCAGTGTTGTATGCTTCGTTTCTGATTCATTCTTTTTGTTTGTTTGTTTTTGAGGAAGACTAGCCCTGAACTAACTGCTGCTAATCCTCTATTTGCTGAGGAAGGCTGGCCCTGAGCTAACCTCCGTGCCTGTCTTCCTCTACTTTATGTGTGGGATGCCTACCACAGCATGGCTTGTCAAATGGTGCCATGTCTGCACCTGGGATCCGAACTGGTGAACCCTGGGCCGCCAAAGTGGAACATGCTCACTTAACTGCTGAGCCAGTGTGCCGGCCCCCATTCTTTTTTATATGTTCCAATTCTTTGTCAAAGTTCTCACTGAGTTCGTCCATTCTTCTCCCAAGATTAGTCAGAATCCT